TGATACTCAATTTCTCTGTAACTATCACTTCCTCTCTTCAAAGAAGCAGAGAGTATCATACTTATAGTACAGATAATTATTGCATTTAATATAAAAACTGTCAGAAATGTACAGACTTCAGAGAAGCTGAACACTAGAGTATATACAGTTATAGCAGAGTCTTGAGAGCTGACTGTCTGCATATGTGATCAGATATCTCTTTCAAAGCTGTATTCACTTTCTCAGTTATGCTGAAGTATTCAGTCTGAAAATAATTAAAATGTGAAGAGAAGACTCATTTATTCAGATTAACTTCTGTTGTAAATTCATGATATTCACATTGCCTTAATTATCTGAATTTTGTGAGTACTCAGAGACTCATCTCTCATTGATAATAAGATTGTGAAAATGTGCTGCAGTGTGAGAATCATTAATAGAGAATCTAGACATATTTGCATATATCTGATCAGAGATTATATAAGTAGAGAAAGAATGATCATAGGCCTGTGAGACTATAGAAGACACTGACAATATCAGAAGCTTTATAAGAACTATCAGCTACAATCTGTAAGAAATTACTTATAGAGAGACTTACAGTAAAGAGTAGAACTATACTACTTAAAGTCAGAGACTGATCTGAGAGAGATATGAAATTGACTGCTTATCTGAAGATCAGATGCAGTGACAGAGCTGAGAGAGATAAAGATACTGTTATAAGTAGTAGCACTTCTACTTCATCAGCTGATAAAAAGTAATCAGAGAAGTTGTAGAGATGCTCATAAGAAGCTCAGCAGCAGTCAGATATTATTTATAGAGATATTGAAATTGAAAAATTTTTTATTCTTGAGAAGTTCTTAAATTAATATATAAATATTGTCAGAAACACTCTCTCTCTATTATCTGAATAAAAACACTTCACAGATGAATAAGAATACTCATAGTTTATAAGAATGAGAGCTGTTACAGAAAAAGAAAAAAGAAGATAAGATTTTATAAATAGATCTGAGATATTTATACTACTTTAGAGAGATTTACTTACACTGTGAGTAATTCTGTAAAATAGTCAGATTACTCTAGTAAATAAAGAGTAATTATGAATTACAGATCTGAATCTTTCTATATAATTATAAAGAGTGATTGCAGATTACAGATATCTTGATTCTATAATTCTATGAAGTGAATAAAAGAATGATAAATTTCTCACAACTCTACAGTGTCAAAGAACAATGATTTATAAGAATGAGTAAAAGATTAACTTATGAATACTTCTCTTTGATGAGAGTGATCTCATAGAGAGTGATTCATCTGTGAGATAAATCTATGTAATGATTATATGAGAATCTTATAAAAATAATTAAGAGTTAACTGAAACTCTTCTGTATAAAAGATATGAGATGAATCTGTGTGATAATCAGAGAAGAATCTATAGATTATAAAAAATCTTATAGAATAAGAAACTGAGTGACAGACTCTTTTTTCTTTATAATAACAAGGAATTTTTCCTCACTGAGGTTTTTTTTTATAGATGTGAAGAGTTTTTAGTAAGTATCACTGCAGTGCTGAGCTGATTCTATGAAGTCACTCAGTGAAAGGCTTCACAAACAAAGTCTTAGAGAGGGAGAGATATATAAGAAATTCTGCTTCTCACAGATTCTTTATCTCTATTTCTATCTCTTATATAATTAATAAAGTTAGCAGCTCTTGACTACACACAACTATATAGACTGAAGTTCACAAATACTATTTATAACTCAGCTTGAATGCTATTATAGATTTAATCTCTACATTTTATCTTTCTATCATGAATACTTCTAGTAGTTAACAGTACATATCACGCCAAGCTGCAAACACCTGAATAATCGCCTGCGAGCACTTATTCTTACATACATGAAGTTTAATCTCTAAATCTGATATTCTGAGAGATGAACTGATTACTCTGAGCTGTTAAGTATTTCTTAAGAAAGATAGATATATAGACTTAAATACTGACTCTGATAATATTCTTAGAAAATCACATTAAGTAATTTATAATAACTGACTTAAGAAGAGTTCTAGAGAAGAGATCTTTACTTCTGTTATCACTGATACTGTTAATTATATTCTTCTTATAATAACAGTACTACACAGTTAAACACTTTATTAAGTGAATATAGTAATAACATATCTGTATAAGCAGCTTACTAAGAAGATCTATATAAAACAACTCACTGATTTTAAGACAGATTCACTGAAAACACTTGTCTGCATAGTTGAGAATAGTTTATACAGTCTGAACTCTGTGATAAAAATCTGATATAATTACTTAATAGCTCTGTTGAGTAATCTTGAATTTACAGTTAGTATCTATAATTCAGCACTCTAATATTATATATTTAGATATTATCTCTATATAACAATCTATGTTAATAATCTTAACATCATATTCAAAGTTTCTGAGAATGCTGATTAACTAGTGAGTATACTCAGTAAGAAATTGACAGTCAAGAATCTATATTAACTGACTAAGTATTTGAATATAAAAGTCAATTATTCTGATAAAGAAATTGATTTAATATATTATCAATATATTAAATATCTTATTAAAGATTTCTATCTTAATAATACAGTTATTATTAAAATACTGATAAAGAATAAATTCTGTATTAATAATTTCTCAATATCTGAGAAAGAGACTGATTTCACAATTCAGTGATATCAATATAATATGAGCTGCTTACAGTATCTTGTAGTTAAAACACATTCTGATATCACTTACACTGTCTTACTACTTACTTAACAGAATATTGATTCAATATCTTAATGTTGAAAGACTCTGTTATACATTATATATTATTTAAAAGAGATAATGAATTTAAGTATTTTCTATAGATACAGTCTGTATAAGAAGTCTGTTCTTATTAATTCTTCTATTCTTACTGATTCTTCTATTCTCTCTGATTTTCCTGATAATTTTTACTTACTCTTTAACTACTCAGATTCTGATTAAACAGATCTCTTAAATAATAATAGAAAATTAACATTCAGCTATATCTTTAAGCTTACAGATAGTCTGATTTCATAGTATTCAGCAAAGCAATCTTGCATATCTCTAAGTTTTAATGAGACTGAATATATAACTCTTAGTAAGATAATCTGCAAAGTAATATGAATCTGAAATCTTATAATTAAGCTTGACTTCATTACTACATCTCTGATATGAATTCTCACTGATAATAAGAGTGTTATAGATATTACAAAGATAACAGTCATTACAGTCTGAAGTAAGTATATTAATATATATTTTCATTTTTCATGTTGACAGTTAAATCAGAAAGTCATTGATCTAGAATATATTCTCACTACTCAGATAGTAGTGAATAAACTCATTAAATCTCTAAACACTGTGATATTTACATGATTCATGATTTTACTAGATCTTACAGATGTAAAAGTTGAAAATGTTTAATTTTACATTTGTGTTTGATTTTAACAGACTATCTTGATGATTTGAGTGTTTTTGTATGTGATTCTTGTTATCTTGAGAGGGAGTGTTGGCCGTTACAGCCATTGCGGTTAGCGATCCCACTAGATCACGTGACCCACCACTATACCATATGGGAAGAACGTAGAGTTATTACACGACCGGATTATGATTATTGCATCATTTCAATCAGTGACACGGTCGCCGAGTCATAAATTATAGTATAATGATGAATGAATGATGGAATCACTGTAAATAAGTAATAAACTGAAAAAATCAATTATTATATTGACAATGTCACTGAATTCAATCTATATAATCACTAATTCTAAAAATCATCTTATTCACTGATATTATTCTCTATTGAAAATCACAGACACTTCTATCTAAATTCTTCTGAATTAACTGAATCAAGTTTCTTTCATAGTCTTCATTTCTAGTCATATTACTCTCATTGATCATATCACTGAACTTGTGAATTAAGGTTTGCAGATTAGTCATGATCTGAAAGACACTATCATCAGTCATCTGATGTTTGAGAGTTGAGATTTCAGAGTGATCAGATATCAGATGTTTGAAAGTCTATACAATTATTAATCTCTGAATAAATCTGAGAATCATTTCATCAACTCTAGCTTACTGTTTCAGTGATTGTTTCATAAGTTCAGAGACTCAGAACACTTATCAAGGTCAGAAGATTAGAGAAGAAGAGAGAAGAAGAATTAACAGCAGTGATAAAGAGACTGATAAGAGTTGTAGAGAAAGAAAGAGAATTATCACTATTAACAGATTTCTTATCACTGCTGCTCTTATTAACTGTGTTACTAAGAAGTTTAACAATTATTTTAAATCAGTTTATTATTTTATATATTTCAATGAAAATGCACTGTACTTTCTCTCTGACACTGTTGATTAAGTTTATAAGATTCTTCATCACTACTTTTTAATTCTTATAATAATTGTTAATTAATCTCAAGATCTCTCACTGAATAGCAAGCTTTGTATTTTCAATATTCAATTTTTTCTTTTCAATGATAATTTTCTTCTTCTTCACAGTAATTTTCTTCTTTTCAATCTTCAATTTAGTTCTTTCAATATTCAACTTGATCTTCTCAATTTTAAGTTTGACTTTTTCAGCAGAACTGATAGATGTATTTAAGGCTTTCAATGTGATAGTTATACTCTTCATTTTTTGATTTTCTGCTTTCTGTCAGCATGTCTTTGCTTTCTTGATTTACTTGAATAAATTCTTCACTGTCTTCAGTATGACTGACTTGACTGATTTCTTCATGACTATCAGAGCAGCAAGATAAAACTCATGAATTCAGATCAGGTTTTCAATTTCATCATTGAATTCATCAGAGTATATCATACAATCTTTCTTTTCATAGTTGCAGTTTGAATATAGCTTTATGCTTCCTTCAACTTTGTTACAAACAGATTCAATATGACAGGGAAAAATATATGAGACACAGTGCTCACACATCATTGACTTGCTAGATTTGATGAGAGTATTCAGCCTGCTTACTGCCTCTTTCTCTTGTGCTTTTGCTGCTGCTGCATGTGTATACTTGAGAGTGTCTCCGGCCATTTTGATGTTGTTGCTGCTGCTGTTATTGCTGCTGTTATTGCTGCTGCTGCTGCTGCTGCTGTTGCTGCTGCTGTTGTTAATATTACTGTTATTGATATTACTGTTGTTACTGTTACTGTTGTTGCTGTTGCTATTATTACTATTGCTGCTGCTGTTGAATGAAACAATAGATCACTGATGTTCTTGATATACTATGCACATTAGATATCTTGACATTAGAACTTTTGATATTCAAAGCTTCCTATTACAACTGGCAGAATACTAACCTTGCTGAAGATGAGAAGGGCTGAGTGAACTGAAAAAATCAATATTCGCGTTGTGATATGATTGCAAGAAGGAGAAAGAAAGAAAGAAAGAAAAAGAAGATAACAAGTTATTCTTCTTATATGTGTTATTGATTCACCTTTGCAGATTATCATGCAATGAATATAAATGCTTTCATATTTCATCTCTGAGTGCAATCAGCACATCTGACAAATTTCATTCATATCTTAATACTTTCTGCGCAGGCTATCACTGAATGAATTACAGCTATTTTGAATATAAAATCATTTCTATTAACTAGGAACAAGTGTTCAATACACTGTTAGAAATATATCTACAGAATTCAAGATTTTCTGATGCAGTGAAATTAGTGAATTCTTCACAGTCATAACTATACAAATTGCAAGATAGAGAATATGACAACTTTCTTCAGTGAATATCAAGGCAGGTATATTCTAATTATGTATATTAAAGTATATATTAACTAATTTATATATAAAACTCATAGAAAACTAAATATATTGAAATATAAATAGATTGTGTTGAAAATCTCTATATCACTGATCTGTCTTTTGCTGAAAGTATCTCTAAAAATTTGATCTTTTTTCACACCTTCTCTCACACATCTTTCACCAGATGTCTCTTTTTTGCTGTTGAGATATTCTGAATCATCTCAGCAAAGTCATCTCTGACAATTTACTGATATTCAGAAATATCACTTATCAGATTTCAGAATGTCAGAATATTTTATCATTGCAGCATAGCTGTGACAGAATTTTCATTTATATCAGCATCATTAAATATTTTGACCTGAGTTGCAAGATTAACATATATCTCTATTTTTCAGAATCAGTTTCTAGTTTTTCAATCTGAAGTTTTCAATTCAATATCTTTAACTAATGAATATTCAACTTACATTTCATATATTATTGTTCTTGCTCAGAGAATTGATCAAAGTTGATGATTTCTCATACTCAGTAAAAAACCAGAAAGAACTTTTCAGCAGTAAATGAATCACAGAAGTATTCAAAGATAATTGATTCTTCATAGCAGTTATACAATCTGATTATCACTGAACTTTCTCTGCTCTTTGTCTTCTTCTATTGAATATGATTCTATATTAATAAATGATTAGCTAAGTTGGTCAAAAAAATTTTAATATCTCACTGAAAAGTTTCAAATTCTTCTAAGATATCTCACTGAAAAGTTGATATATTTGCTAAAATCTAATACTACTTGTCTTCATTTCTTTGAGAGTTCAGAACTTTCATGTTTTAATCACATTCAGTATCATCATTCTGCTGAATGAAAAGATATATGATGTTTTATCCTTTATTTTTATCACACTTGCAACTGTTCAATCCAAATTATCTTTATTAAAAGAAAGAAAATACATTCATTTTGTCTTCAGATGCAGACACTGCTCTGTCAGCTGAATTTCCTTCTCATACATTTCTGCATCTGAATGCCGGGTTTGATGACATCTTTTTGACAGACTGCTTAATATCAGTGATGAGTTTGACTTCTTCTCATCTGACTGATATTCATCATTGCTGCTATTATGTTCATTCTATGTTCAGATATGTCAATATCAGATTTCTTTTGAAATCGGCAATTTGTCTCATTAAATCTACTAGATGAGAGAGTTCAGAGAGATCTAGTAGAGCAGAATTCATAACAATATTCATTTTCAGAATCTTGATAGAACTCTGATAAATTTGTGATATGAATAGAAATATAGTGATTTGATTCTTAATATTAAATTAATGTAGATTGTCACTAATTGCAGCTCTTATTAATATATTCCTTTTCAGTAATTCAATCTCATCTCTTTATTTTATCAAGACTGCTCATTCACTTCATTCATATCTTTTCAACTACACAACTTTTTTCTACAAATCATATCAGAAAGCAAAATGTCATGTCTGTTTAATTGAAATCTGAAACACTATCTACTATCTGTCTCTAGACAAGAATCTGAAGATGATCAATGTTCCTCTTTTTCAGAAACTGCAAATGAAGATTTTACTGATAGTGATTCAGATATTGATGCTCTCAGTGAAGAAGTATTACTATTTTCAGTAAGTTTATCACTTTTGATGTCTCTATCATTATAAAAACTAACATTCTCTAAAGACAGAGTTATATAATGAGGATGCTGCTGATAATATTGAGTATATTAAGTGACTTTTAAAAGCAGCTGCTGAGGAGAATATTTCTGAAAATGATGATCAAGAGAATTCTGATGAGTCAGTTGCTGATGATATTGAAATATCAGCTACTGATGCAATTACTGTTGCTATTACTGATTAATTTATTGATTATGATTCAGCAATTGATATATCTTATAAACACAGTAACTTTAAAATGAATTCATTTATTCTGACAATGAGACTCTGAACTGAAGAGTCAGATATTTTCTGAAAAAACTACAAATCACTACTGCAAATTCTGCATTTATTAAAGAATACATCACTGATAAGTCTGCTCTCTGAAGATCTATCAACTCTGAAAAAGCAATGCAGAGCATAATTTCTGATTTTATCAGTTAAGAAAATCTCAATTTCAATAGTATTATCAATACAAATATCAACTCTGAGTTCTGCTCAGAAAAATCTCACTGAATTCTTCATGAGATCACTATACTTTTAAAATCCAATTTTCTTGATATCTGCTCTTCTCAAATCCTCAACTTTTCAGTGACAAATGCATATAGAAATGATAGAAATTGTTAACAATCTCACAGAGTTATAACAATCTCACAGTTGAGAAAGCTCTGTTAAATATTATTTCAGTGAATTTATCTGATATTTATCAACAAATAAACCTATTTTTTCTTCTGATTTTATCTGATATCAGTGTGAGAATCTTGAATACTACTGCAAATCAGAGTTGAACAATATATCTTATATTGAAAGAGTGCATTTTATTGAATGTGATTATCAATATTCAGGTATGAGATCTCATATAATAGTTCTGAAAGTTCAAGAAGCTGTTTACTATACTTCACAGACTGCACAAAGATTATCATTCTTGAATTCATTATTTAATCTCTTCAAAATAATTGCAATAGAGAATGAGATGAAATATATCTCAATTACTCAAGTTCTTAATCAACTTAATATTCATATAAATATAACATTTGAATCAGGTTCTGATCTGCTGATATATAAGAGTCAAGATCAGTATTTTCTTCACTGAGTCATGAGAACTAAAACTGAGATAATTGAAATATGATCATATTATAAATCTTCACTGATTCAGACTGAGTTGAACATTGCAGCACATGAATAAGATCTTTTGAAAAGCATATTTTACTCTGATATACAAGTTATTTTCCTATCATATCAATCATTTATTGATGAATTTGATTTATATCAGAACATGTACTGAAGCTTGATGAGTTTTTATTTAATTTCTGCACTGAGCACTGTTAAGCACTTAAAGTGAAATAATATTTTTATTCTAATCTTTGATTCTCATGATATCAATTTTTCTGATATAGTTACTATATTGTCACATGACTTATCTACATTGAATTATAAGAGAATTATAATGAATATTGATGAAAAAAAGATGAGAGTGATTGCATTTTACATTGCATTTCTTGAAGATATACTGCAGTAAAATAGTAATGTAGAGATCAAAGAATTAATAGTAAGAAGATTATACTGAAGCTGCTTTATTAATAACAAGAATTGATTGAATCTGAACTATGATCTATGTAATAACAGCTGATTTCACTATTATATACAATATCTTCAGACTAAACTGAATGATCTGCTGAATCTCACATACAGAGATCAAATGTGTCAAGAGTAAGAAATGACATCACAGACTGTATTTTTTTTTCAGATATATTCAAGTTTGAATTTGATCTCTTTTTTCTCATCTGATTCATATTATAGTAAGTTTACTGATATATCAGAGATTTCATACTCATTGCTGATTAGTACTGTCTTATCACTGTATAATCAGCTAGAATACTTTCAAATATTGCAGATATTTTCTTTTTCTCACAGTTGAAATTATCTGCAGTCACTGATCACTTATATTAAGAAGTATCAGCTTCAAGAACATGCTTGAGCTTTAATCATTATATCTCTTATCTTGCAGTGTGAGCTCAAGAAGAAATGACTCAGTTCAGTGATTAAGCAGATTATTTCTGCAGCATTTTCAGCATTAAATCAATCATCTATTGATCTTATTATTCAGATATATGCAGTCATTGCAAGAAGTAATAGTCTATTGATGTCTCAATCTCTGAGAGAAAATGATTCTGAAGTGACTTATTAAATCATACTTACAGCCTGCTGATAGCTATAATTTCTTATTAAAGCTATAGTAAGAGCAGCAGTAACATTTAAATTATCTCAAGCTAGTTCAGTTGTTAGTTATCAGTCATTCCCTGCTTCAACAATGAGCACAGTTGCTACACATATCAGTGATTATATTAAAAAAGCAAAGCTTATATAGTATATAAAGAGTCAGCTGAATATACATATTAATTTACACTATATTGAGCTGATTAAAGAATATACTGTATCTAACAACTGCAATGTTCTAATAGAGAAGAATAAGCATTGAGACTATAAGAATCTAGTGCAGTGAATAAATTATCAGAATATGAAGAAGATACTACTCTTATAGAAGAGCTTTCACTGCATCTGATAACTAGTATTAAGAGATTCTTTTGACAGATCTAACTTATGTCTGATACAGAAGATTCAACAGCTATATATAGTTTGTTCAGCACTGTTCAATAATCTGCTGAGAATGAATAAAGAATCAGATGATAATAATGATTCACTGAACTACTCTATCAAGTTAAAGTTAATAAAAGATTATATTGCTCTGAAGATTTTTAGTCATCTATTATCAAGCAAGATGTCAGAGAA